AGCAAAAAGAAGAAAGCCTGAAGTGGCGCTGTGGCTCAAGTGGTAGAGCGCTAACCTTGAGCTGAAGAGCTGAGGGACAGCGCCCAGGCCCAGAGTTCAGGCCCCACGACCGGACCCAAAAAAAATAATAAATAAAAAAAAAGATTCCCAAACGTGTTTGATTTATTCCATATCCTAGGAACTGAGGAATGAGTCTATCTAGCAGTACAGTCCATGGAGGGAGGCAACATACTGGATCTAATCCAAACGCTGGGCTGTCTGTGGAGGAGGAAGTGCAAACAGTGTTGAGGCAGATGGTGAGCACCATGAGATACTCCCACGAAATGGGCATGGCACAGTGAGAACTAAATTACAGAACATCTTACTAGACACTATAGGCAACGCTAAGGCTGCACCTTTGACCTCAGTACCAGATTCTCAGCTGCCCAGAAGCTAGACTCAAAGTACAGGACATTCTGATGTTGTGCTCAGGAACTCTTACCAGAGCACCAAGGGTATGACAGCTCCAGAGTAGACATGGGCAGCTTGGGAGCGATGCAGTATGTTGTGTTGTAGGTTGCTTCCCATTTCAAGTATGAATATGAAGGAGTTGGAAAAGCAGGTGCTGAGGGGGCCCGCAGCATCACAGCCAAGTTCTCTCCTGAGTTTCAAAGCCAGGTAAATGTCATCGTTATGGTGGACCCCCAGCCCAGGCCGTCGCTTGAGTGTGTTCTACTTCACCCATGTCTAAAAACATTCTGGCCTTTCACCACTAGAGACAGAGTCCTGAACTCCCACACCTCATCATCTCTCTGCTAATGAACCACCTGACTTATGACCCACAGGAAGTCCTAGATGTTTCACTGGCTCAGAGATACAGTGGTGCCCTGGACATATACCTGCTTATAGAATGGCAAAAGGAACAATGGTTGGGCTGCAGCAGCCCCTTGAAGGTCCTGAATTTCTTTTTCTGGGGGGTGAGTCTGGTCGTGGGGTCTGAACTCTGGGCCTGGGCACTGTCCCACAGCTAGCTCAAGGCTAGTGCTCTACCACTTGAGCCACAACGCCACTTCCGGCTTTTTTCTTTTTGTTTATGTGGTGCTGAGGATTTGAACCCAGGGCCTCATGCATACAAGGAAAGCACTCTACCACTGAGCCACCTTCCCAGCCCCTCTGAATTTCTTAATGTCTTTCTGCCTAATACCTACAGGATATTTGGCCTTGCATGTTCCCATAGCCAGAGCCAGTGTGGCTGCTCTTCACCCGTGCACCATCCTGGGGGAGGACCAGCAGGGTGTCACACAGCTGTGCACTCTGCCATACCCATCAATGGGCTGTCCGCAAGGTCCTCCTCTCAGAACCCCCCTCCCCACCAAGCCCAGCCCCAGCCCCTGACACACTGGCTGTTTCCTGCACAATCAGCATGGTGGAGAAGACAAGACAGCTCACAAGGGTCCTAAGGACAGTATTTCACCTCTGGACAGTGTACTGAAACAGCCCAGATTCAGGGCAGAAGGTCACTGTGTGAAGATGTTGGAGCAGCCCTTGTTCCTGACCACAGGGTAGAAACTTCTGGCCATTTCTTGGAAGGACCCACCAGTGGTCCCTGCCCATGTAGAGCAGTCCAACAGAGGCATGTACACAGTGGTTCTACTCTCAGATGAATCCCACTCTCCCAGTAGTATGGAACCGAAGCTCAGTGTACACACACCAAATGAGATCATCCAACTTCCAAACGTGGCAGCTGGAGAGCCACCCCATGGTTCAGCTGCTGAGGATCTCAAGCTGACAGTGGAGATGACAGCCTCCTCCAGCTGTGACAGCAGCTGAAGAGACAGCTCTTGGGCTGGCAAGGCCTGTGTCTCCCGAGATAGAGCCACTTCCAGCTGTGGCAGGAATTGAGTCTAGCAGCATCAGAGGACCTGCTCCCTCAGATAATGTCCTGACAACAGCCCTAAATGGGATCAGCCAAGGTGCTGGAAGTTGGTATATTACCAACAGGTTTGAGGATTCTGGTGCTGCCTGCCGCTGGAGAACCAAGTGAGAAGGAGGACAGCACAGACACCTGGAAAGCAAGGAGGTGGGACCTGAGCTGAGCTGCTGCATTGTAACTGTGCTCTGCTTCCTGTCTTCCTGATTCCTAATCAAATTGTCTTTGTGCCCAGGGGCTGGAGGTGCATGGGGAGAGGAAAGTTAGGGTTGTTCCCAGGGACAGATTTCCAGAGAGGAGTCAACCTACTCCCATAGTTACAGCTACTGTCCTGTTTAAATGAATCCCTGACATTGTATGGCTGCAGTTAAACTGGAGAGAGAGAATGATGAGGTTCTGGATGTGGATATGGTCCACTTTGGACTCTCATCAGAACAGAGCCAAGCAGGAAGTTTACAGCTATGTCCTTCACATGACCCGCCCCTAGAGTCTGTCTATCACAGTGGCTACAGAAAGAGGAAGTCCAAAAAAAAAAAAAGAGGAAGTCCACCACTGCCTATATCCCTAGCATCCTTTGCAGAGGGTGTCTGAGCCTGCCTGGAGGTGCGCAGCCCCCTACCCTTCTACCTGGAAGACTTGCCACAGAACTGTTCTTGCTTGACAGCGGATAGGGTTCCCAATACGTTTTAGTTTCTGAAAAACAGAAACCGATATTGAACATCCTAGTAGATGTTCCTAATAATAGTCATGTTCTACATGTCTTTTGTCGTGTCTTTATCTCAGCTCTTAATTTTCTAAGGTTACACATGTAACCCATGAGTACCAGATTGTTTTTTGTTTTGTGGGTGGTTTGTTTTTTGGGTTTTGTTTTGTTTTATTCTTTTGTTGGTTATGTGGCTTGAACTCTGGGCTTGAGTGCTATCATGGCACTTCACTTCTAGTTTTCTAGTGGTTTATGGGAGATAAGAGTCTCACTGACTGCCTAAGCTGGCCTTGAACTGTGATCCTTTGATCTTAGCCTCCTGAGTAGGTAGGATTACAGGCATGAGCCACCTGTGCCCAGCTTGGCATCGTTGTTGTTGTTGTTGTTTTGTTTGTTTTTTTGAGAGAATATTCTGTGTGTATCCAGGGTTGGCGTCAAAAACTTGATCTCCCTTTGTCACCTCTAATTGCAGGGATTACCCCCAAGTCCCTACTTTACCCATGTGGGTTAAGTACTTTTCAAAGATGGAATAGTTCCCTTTCCCTGTGAGCATTTCCTCTATTATTAGAATCTCCTCTGGTGACTGACTTCCCCTCAGGGAAGAACATCTCTTTAATATGAAAAGTTTTTATTAATCTTATGAAATTTAGGGGAAAGTGGGAAGATGGGTTTTAAGTGAAAATCAGACTAAAACATGCTTAGTAAGCAAAAGGGAAGAGTCGTGTGAATGTGGGCCTTGCAGTGCTTGCCTTTAATCCTGGCTAACTCACAAGGGGAATATGAGAATCAAGGTTAGAAGCCAGGCTGGGTAGAGAATTCTGTGACACTCTTCACTTAATCAACAAAAAACTGGCTCATGTGAGAGCTCAAAGACCTGAGATGAAAACCTTGGTAGTGTCCACACACAAAAGCCATAAAAGCAACTCAAAGAAAGAGTAAAAGGCTCCTAACTTTATTTTCACACACTAGCCGAGGGACCTCCAATGTATTCTGACCTTTTAGATATGAGGTGCTGATGAGAAGAAGCAGTCAGGGCAGAGTGGATGGTGTAAAGTGTATTCCTTGTGTTCAATCATTGTCTTCACATGCGAACATACGAACTCCTGGATACACATTTCTTAAGGCACCCAGGCGGGAACAGTGACTTCCCCCATCTCAAATGCAGGAATTCAAGCTACAGCTCTGCCAGTTCCCCCAGACTCATCAGTGGTCTGATGTCCTGCCAGTTTGCTGGCTACCTAAGCATTTTTTAGAGGGGAACACGAGCAGTATTGGGGCTTGAACTCATAGCCTGGGTTTGTCTCAGGTATTTTTGCTGAAGACTGGCCCTCCAGCACTTGAACCATACTTCCCTATTGAACTCTTTACTGGAAAATTGGAGAAGAGTCTTCCAAATAATCCTGCATGGGATGGTTTCATAGACCAATCTTAGCCTCCTGAGTATAAAGTACATCAAGTAGGTTTCATTAGGTAGCCGATGAAGAGAACACCAGGCGCTATTCAGGCAGGAGAAGTTTATTTACCCAACTGATGCCCCCACCTTGCATGATGGAGAGGCAGAGCTGAAAAAGGAAGGGGTGACCCACCTCTGGGCCAGAACTTATCTAGGCCAGGGACAGGAAGAGGTGTAGCCAGGTGGGGGAAAAGTGTGGCCACACTGGCTCCAGATGTGACTTCAGGGTCTGGGATCCTCCTAAAGTCAGATGGGAAGCATGTGACCAGAGGTGGCCCAGGATGTGGCCTAGGAGGGGAAGGTGACTGCTTCCAGGTGTGCCAGTTACCTAGGAAACAGATACTGGGTAGAAACATAGCCAAGAGGTGCGTAGGTGTCCCTGTGCAGACCCTACACTGAAAATGTTAGGATTATAGGCATTATCCACCAAGCACACTTATTTGTTATTTGTATCCAGGTTGGTATATAGAGTCACTGTATCTGTTGGACAGGAGGCTTGAAGATAGCAGGTAAAATGACATTTTTGCCAGATGACACCCCATTTTTGGAACGCACTGAGTTCAGGAGACAAATACAAACCATGATTCTTTCCTGCTTTGAGATCACTATGTAATCACTGTTTAAAACTGAAACATGAACAAACCAACTACAAATGTGAACATCTGAGATCTCTTGAGAGAGGCTGTGTGTTTCCTAAAAGTTGGGAGGGATTATGAGAAAATGAATGGCTAGATAAGCTTACAAAGAAAGAAGGGGGAGAGGAAGAGAGGGAGCCACATAGAGGCAATGCAGATTGCATAACCAGTTTTATTGGATATCATTCACCAGCAGAGCACATTCTTCAGAAGACTTCTTCAGATATGTTTCTAGAAGGCCTCAGGTAGATAACAAAGGTGAAAATGTCAGTGTCTACCACTGTCTGCCATGTCTTCACTTAGCTCTGCAGAGGAGGTGGGTCTTCCTGGGATAATGAAGGACATGGGAGCCCAAGACAATGAAGCACTCAGCTGCAGGAAGCCTGAGGAACTTGGAGAGCTGGATCATTCATCCTGATAGCCTTTCACCACCAAGGAGTCAAGCTGCACATTGAGACTGGCAGCCAAGTCCTTGTTGGTTAGGGGCTGGCTCCGGACACTTTGCAGCATCTGATAACCTTGGGAGGAAGAGGAAAGGTCAGAGCGTTTAGGAGCACAAGAAGCCTGTGGGGACACAAGGGAAGGAGGGGGAGGCAAGAGAAATCCCAGCACACCCCTCTACGAGAACCCATTCATATCCCTCATTTCCTTTTCCTCCCTCGATGACGTGACTCATACTATGGTTGACTCTGGGGTCCTGCACTGCAGGGGACTGTGGGAACATCTAGATTCTCAGATTCCTGAGCAGTCCTAGTCTTTATGATGCCATATAGGAGCACCAAGTTTGTCATCAAGGCCTCAACCACAATTAGATCACAGACACTTACCTCGAGCTTGATAGTGAAAGTTCCTTTGCTCCAAAAGCCATATTATGCCCATCAGCCACTGCCTGGCCCTAGGTGGACCCACCACAGTGACTCGGGTATGGCCCGTGACTGTGAACCAGGACTCCAGCTGAATGAGGGTGTGGCTGTGCTCTTCTATGCAGCGGAGGTATCTGTCCTCCTGCCCTGGGAACAGAAAAGGAGAGAGGAAGAACAGGAAAACCACCAACAGTACTGGGAGTTAGGTGAACGTGAGGGTGGAGGCTTGGCACAGATCCAAGAGGAAACATGGGGAGAGACTGATGAATGTGAAGAGACAGGAGAGGGCATAAGGGCCACCTACCGAATATTATCTGCTCCAACTCCTCTTCCAGGTAAAAGACCAATGGGGCATTGAAATTTTCAGGCTTGGTCCACCATTCTCCTATGCCAAAAGAATTCATGTCCATCATGTCTTCTCTCCTTGCTTTACTCAGCACAGAGCAAGTCCAAGAAGCTGATTGTAGAGATGAAGAAGTTCTGAAGCTCTGGGTTTTATATCCTCACTCAGATAATCCACCCTTCCCCACCCTGGACCCACCTTAGAGAGGCTGAACCAGCCCTTAAAAACCTTCAAAGATGATCCACTCCATCACAGATGAATCCAACCCTGGATTCCTCCAGTCTAGATCCAAACCTTCATGATAAACTAGTTAGTTAACACAACCCATGTATCTGGTGCCAAGGAATGCAAGCTTGTCTTCACTCTGGTAGAGTGATCATGACTGAGGTTTGAGGGGTGCATATGCTAGAACAAAAATGGCTTCAGAATGGGCCTTGTTGGTTTTTCTGTCCCAACCACGCAGGATATGGAACAAAGAGGATAGAGAATGAGGGATCTATCCATAAACTATCTCAGTAAAAGTTAATAAGAGAAAATGGTTTGGGATGTGGAGCAGTCCTAGAGCTAGGGAAGTTTCAGCACTAACAGCATTCAATCCAGGATAGGATAGAATAGGATAGGAGAGAATTGGGGAGGAAAAACAGAGGAGAAGTGGGGATGGAACAAGACACAGCACAGGACAAGATGGGAGGACAAGGGTGAGGATGGGAGAGGAGAAGGGAAAGGGGACATGGCTTCATTGAAGGCATCTGTTTCTTTACCTGAAGGTTTGTGCTTCAGGTCTCTTTCCATGGATGATTTTGTTTCTCTACTTCACTGTAGAAAGCTCAGTTCATGGTTTCCAAGTGGGGTCCTTTCAATCAAGGGCCAGTTAACTTTTCCTCTTCATTAGACATTGGTCTCTTCTAAAAGACTAGTTCCTTAGGTTTTACCCATGCAGAAGCAAATGTAGCAATTTTCAGGTTGTTAAAAGCTGAATTATTTATTTTAAATTCACAAACACCTTTTGATCTTCATAATGATAGTCACTGTACGCCTATGCCCAACTTTGGTCCTCAGCTCCATCCAGACCTGAGCCCCTCCCTGCCCTGGAGTTCCCAGGGTACAGCTGGCCTCTCCCTCTCTCTGCCCAGACCCGCCTAACTCCCATCTACCTCACTTCCTAACCTCCAGACCCTGCTGCTACCTAGATAGCAGAGGTCGCCATGGGCTCTCTCTTCAGGGCAAATATGGCTCCTCTATTAATCCTTGTAATAATCTTTCTCCTGTGCCTGCCGCCTCCCCATGGTCTCCTAGGATGGATGTGATGGATCCTTTCAGTGATCATTTCAATCTACATTGCTTATGAACTCTATGACCTTTTACAATGACACTTTTTTCTTTACAAATAGAGTGATATGTTCATTTCTTTCCTTTTGCTTCATATCGCCTATTCCCTTATTCTCTCTCATTCCCTCCAACCCCATCTCCACCCTTGTGTTGATTAGTTCACTGTCACCAATGTCCAGTGTCCCTTATGGGCCCTTCTGCTGTATTTTTTCACCTGCTTTCCACTGATTCTGTGCTCTGCTCCTACCTTCCCTCAGATGTGCGCATGTATACACCATAGATGAGGTAAAGAATACAGAGTCATCTAAAATGATCACACAAACTAAGAAGAGGTTCTTTGTTTTCTATCTTTGGGGTTCTTTTCAGTATGCATATTAATTTATATATAAATGGAGAGGTGCTTGGGTATTGCAGTTTGGTGGATAGGTGAATTTTGAAGAGTATTCTGAATTTACTTTTGGAATCCACATTTTCTCTCTCTGTTGATTCTAATTATTCACCGAAAACAGGGAGGAATTTAATAGCTTTTCTTAGGACAGTAAAAAATGTCAGTAATTCTTCAGTAACAGAGTGAAATATAGCCCACCTTGCTGAAACGGACTTTTGAACCTGACCACTAACTCAGCCAGGAAATCTTACCTACTCAGGAGTCTGAGACCTGAAAGAACGCTCATCAAAACAGTGCTGTCAGAAAATTCAGGGAGTCCACATCTCCAAAATAATCAGTAACAGCTGGGCTGGAGAAGTCATGTTTCAAGTTGTAGAGTGACAGCTGAGCAAGCAAGAAGAGCAAACCTGAATGCCTGAGTATAATCCATAGTGCTAGATAAAAAAGGAAAGGTGTTTCCAGACATGGGCTTGCGTGCCTTTAGTCCCTTGACTCCGTATTATAGGAGACAGAGGAAGGAAGATGGTGAGTTTGAAGCTAGTCTCAAATTCTGCCTCAAAACACAAAGGGTTGTATGCAGAATATTTTTTCGTTTTGTAAAAAGTGGCCAAACTTACTTTCCTGTACTTTACCCTACTCAATGGCATTTAATGTTACTAATATTCCTTGCCTCATTTTGTTTCCATCTTCCAAAGTGGCTGTCCCATCTTGTATTCCCACCACCAAGGAGAGTTGCTAAAGCTCCATATCCTTGCTCATATTCAGTGTTCTCCGTTTGTTACCTTATTGTTGAGAATTTCTTAGGGTTTTTCTACTTATTTATTTACTTGTTTGTTTGTAAAGGTGCTGTCCCCACCCATTTTCAATCGTGTTTTGTGAGTGTCATTGCTGTATTTGTTCCCCTTTGTCCCTCCATTTCTGTGCTGACCATACTATCCTCTCCCATGCTCTCCCATTTTTTCCTGTCCTGTTGTCCTGTTCTGTTTTCTCTTCTCTCTTCTTCTTTCTCCTCTATCTGATCATAATCTATCCTGCATTGAATGTGTCAGTACTGAAGCTTCCCTAGCTCTACTACTGTACCACATCCCCAAATGTTCTGACCATACTATCCAGCAATTGTACATGTGGGTATTTGGCTCCAGGACTCCAAAGTATATATTTACATAAGCATTTTCACATCAGTATGTGTTGTAACTTTATTCTCAATTGTCAAAAGCTAAAGAAAGCAAGGTATCAGTGAATGGATAAATAAACTATGATATATCCAGACAACTTGGTAATCTTCACCATTGAACTGAACTGTCACAACTAAAAGACTTGGAAGAGCCTTAAATGCCTATTTCTATGTGAAAGAAAATCCACCTGAAGAGGGTCAGATCTGTACGTTTCCAACTATTTTATCCCTATGGATAAAATTAAAAGATCAGGGCTGCCATTTATGGTTAGGAAAGAGGAGTAAACACAATACAGAATATGTAGGACAACAAAAATATCCAATCCTACTGTCATGATACTCTCAAGACCCATATGATGTACAAAAGTAGGGGCTGGGAAGGTGGCTGAGTGGTAGAATGCTTGCCTTGCATCCATGAGGCCCTGGGTTTGATTCCTCAGCACCAAATAAGCAGAAAAAGCCACAAGTGGCGCTATGGCTCAAGCGGTAGAGCACTAGCTTTGAGCTGAAGAGCTGAGGGACAGTGCCCAGGCCCAGACTTCAGGCCCCAAGACAGCCAAAAAAAAGAAAAGAAAAAGTATGCCATCAGTTATAACAGATGTTCCCCTGAGATGGAAGGCATTGATTAAAAATAGATAAGTTGAGGGGAGGGCAGGACATATTTGGGAAATATCTTTTAGGGTTTAAGTAAAATAAAACTTTCACTGAAATAATAAAATCTCTTTCTCTCTTCCCTCCCCCTCTCTCTCTCTTTTTGTTGGTCATGGAGCTTGAATTCTGTGCCTGGTTGTTGTGCTCTACCACTTGAGCCACAGCACCACTTCCAATTTTCTGGTGGGTTTTTATTGGAGGTAAGAGTCTCATGGACTTTCCTGCTCCAGCTGGCTTTGAACAGCAATACTCATATCTCAGCCTCCTGAGTAACTAGGATTACAGGCGTGAGCCACAGGAGTTAGGCATCACTTTCTATTTTGAAAAAGCAGGGAAAGAAGACCATCATGAGTTGGTGTGTGGCCAGTGGTAGAACACTTGGCACACTCAAGTCTACCAGGAAATTATGTCTGAGGAATACTGGCACTTGCACAAACACTGTGTTGCCATTTTCTTTTATCAACCCATACTATAAACCAGGGTTCTTATTTCCAGTGAGAAGTATAATTAATACCGGATGCTGGGGATGGGAATGTGGCTTAGTGGTTAAGTGCTTACCTAGCATGCATATAAGGCCCTGGGTTTGATTCTCAGATGCTAGTGGCTCACACATCTAATACCTAAGTCCACTACTCAAGAGGCTGAGATCTGAGTCTGGGAAGACCAATCTGACCATAAATTGACAGGGAAAAGGCTGGAAGTGGGTCAGAGATTCAATGGTAAAATGACAGCCTTGAGGAAAAGAGTCAAGCAAGAGTTCAGGCTCCAGTGTGTCCACAAACAGGAAGGAAGGGAGAAAAGAAGGTGTGAGAGAGAAACCACCAATTCAACTCCAGTACTAGCACAGATACACACAAAGGGACAATTAACATCCAATATTGTTTGTCACTTTTTTAACTCTATTTTTTTGTAATTATAAATGTAATTTATTTTGGTAATTATAAACATATTTGAGTTACTGAAATCACTGAGAATGTCAAGCAAACTCAAGTGTTCCTAAAACCTTTCCTTATAAGGAGAAAGGTGTCATTTTTACTAATGATGGTCAAACCAAAACCAAAACACAGATAAAAGTCCATTTTTCCAAGATGTATGTCCTTATGGGGGAGACAAATGGGAAGTTCTTGGTCTCACTGAGGGAAGAATTCAGGAGCTGATCCATGGAGGACTTTGAACACAAGTTAACTTCTGGCAAATCTACATCTTAAATTACATTTTTATTATATTTAGGTATACAAAGGGACTTCCATTCGGTCTTTTCATAAGAACAATGCATTTTGATCAATGTCACCAGTTTCATTCTCCCCTTTTCCTTGCAAGTCACCCCCTCTTCTCGGTTTTCTTGAATATGCATTAAATATTAAGAGTGCATTATCCTCTCTCCTCTTCGTTTGATCACCTCCTCCCCTTCACCTCCCCAAGTACCAGTTTCCCAGACTTGTTTTTGTTTAACTGTGGGTTAGTTGCTCTTTTCCTTTTATTTTTTCTTCTGGATTTTTGAGTCTGGTGGACAACTTTCATAGGGAGGAGCTGAAAAGGATACAAAACCAGGAAATATATATATCATATATATGCATATAATCTTATTTTATAGTATACAAAGATAGGGTCCTCTGAGGGCAGATTGGGGGCAGCAGGCCCCCTAACAGAGAGCAGCCCTTGGCTCCACTCTCCAGGCTCCTCCCCTTCCAGCTGTCAGGGTGAAGGACTGGCCTGGCACTGACAGCTCTTTCCAGAGTCGGGGTCTTGGGAGTTACACCTTCTGAATTCTCCCCTGCAAAGACCATCCTTCCATTAATCCCTTTGTGTACACTTGACGTACAACCACGATGCATTTACTTCTACATGTCTCATCTCCACTAACCACAGAAAGTCCGGGAGTAGACAGTGCTAGCTGTAATATCTAAGTTGCTATTCACTGGCAGAATGTTCTCTATTGTCTGGCCTCAGTCTCTCTTGCTATTAGAAATTTACTCTCTTCCTTGATATCCATGAAAACAAAATGTGAAATCAGAAAACAGAACAAAGTTACTGATAAAGGACAAACTTGGTGCTAAAGGAAAACTCCAGGCTAAGGCTGACCAGCAGTCAGCTCTAACCCCTTTACATCCTTGCTAAAAAGCAAAAGAATGTCTCTCCCTCTCTCAAGTTTACCAACTAAGCTGGCAGTTTTGCAGTTTACCACAAATTTTACTGAAGCCACTGACAATCTTGAGGCTTATTACCAGCTGAACTGAGTTGCTGTGTTAGTCCAGAGCTTATAATGAAAATCATTTCTGCCAGGCGCCAGTGGCTCATGCCTGTAATCCTAGCTACTCAGGAGGCTGAGATCTGAGGATCACGGTTCAAAGCCAGCCCAGGCAGGAAAGTCTGTGTGAATTTTATCTCCAAAAAAAACCCCACCAGAAATCAGATGTGGTGCTGTGGCTCAGGTGGTGGAGTTCTTGCCTTGAGCTGAAGAACTGAGGGACAGCCCCCAGGCTCAGCATTCTAGACCGACCACTGACCAAATTTATTTTAAAAATCATTACTGTAAAATAGACTATCCCCACCCAAGCCTGTATTTTGATTTCTGTAATCCAAGGATCTGTTTTGACATTTTGTAATCAAGTATCAATAGTGTCAATTGCAGTGATACTATGGGTCATGCTGACCAAGTCAAGATTATGTTTTGCCTATGCTCCTGTGATCAGAGCTATGTTTTGCTTCTATGTATCTTTTCTTCCTTGCTTTGGTAAACATCACCCACATGAAACCCTTCCTTATAAAAATCCTCCATGAAACGCAAACAGGGCTGTTCTGGAGCTCTGAGAGCTAAGGACAGATGTCATGTGGTTAAATGAAAAGCTTGCAGCCAGATTGACTGAGTGCTGTCATATCTTACTGGGAAATTGGAGTACTGCATCTTAAATTGGAATACAACACTAGCCTTGAACAAAATAGCTCAGTGACTAGAACCTGAGTTCAAGCTACAGAGCCACCAAAAGATAGAAAAATATATAAATATAATCAAAGCACTTTCAAAATTAACCATTTAATTTCCACCTTCTGATTTCACATCTCAGGAGATATGGAAAAGTCAGTTCTACACTCAGCTATCTACATAACTGTGTTTTCTGCTGCAGGTGTCTGTGCAATTTATTTCATGAAATCATTTTGATGCCCCAAAAGCAATGTATAATTTATGTGCTTAACTGATGTGGTAAAATAAAAAAATCCGAAATTTCTTGAGAGGGGTTGTTTTTCCAGGGGTGTTGGAGGCATTACAGGAAGAATGAATGGGCTGTATAAGCTTGTAAAACAACACAGGCATGAAAGATGACTGAGGCTTTCCTCAGCACATGCCCAGAATGCACGAGGGAGCCAATGGCTCCGCATGGGCAGACCTGTCAATGTCTTCCAAGACTTTCTCATCATGGGCTGGGCAAGACTCACCTCCCATCTAGCTTCCCAGGGGAGGTCAGCCTTTACAGCATATAGAATGAACAGAAATGAAACCAAAGACCAACAAGGAATTGAGCCACGGAAACCAGAGGAAGATGGAAAGACAGATGCCACCTCGTGCTGACAGGCAAACAGGTGCCAGGTTTCCAGCTGCATATGGAGACAACTGAGTAAGTACGATTTACTCAGGCATTGGCTCCAGACACTCTGCAGCCTTTGCAGGCCTGCTCAGAGGGAAGAACTGATCAAACAGAGCCTACAAGTAAGCCAAGATGCCTATGGATCACTAGGGGATAAGGAGACACCCAGCCCATCCCTGCCTAGGGACTCACGAATATCTCCCCAATCCCCTCTTCCTGAATAACTTCATGCCACAAAGTGCTCAGTTCTGGGTCCCCACCAACAGAGTGTGTCTTCAAAAATTTAACCAGCCTTCAAGAATACCAGGGCTGTCATGAAACCTTCAAACCCAATTCAGTCACAGACATCTACCTTGGCCTTGACAGTAAGTGTCTTGGTGCTCCAAATACCAAACCCTGTGTATGAGCCACTGCCTGGCCCTGTGTGGACAAATGACAGCGATGGACAGGTGGAGTCTGGCCTGTGCCTATGAACTCTGGCTCCAGCTGAATGAGGGCACGGCTGTGTTCTTCCATGCAGTAGAGGTAGCAGTGCCTTTGGCCTTGGAACAAAAGAGAGAACAGCTAAGCCACCAGCATTAGGGGGTGCTGGAAGGGAAGAGGAGGTGCTGAAAATGGGGGCCTTTCCCAGACACAGGAGGAGGCACAAGGAGAATCTAGAAAGCATACTGAAGACAGGAGCTAGGCTTGTGTTTGTCCCACAGCACTGCTTAGGAGACAAATGTTCAGTGCAGAAGCCAGAAAGGAGCCTGAGCCGAGGAGAGAGGTTCAAACCAGAGATTTAGCTATGTGCCATGATAACAAGGCCAGGAAACTGTGTGTATGCACGTATGTGTGCATCACAAGGCCATGTGTACGTATGGCCATGTAAATGTGTATGCGTGTGTGTACCACAAATTTATTATATATATATTTGTGCATGTATCTATACATAAGTGTGTATGTCTGTTACACGCCTGGGTGTCCCTGTGGGAGAATGGAGCTGCCCTGTCCCATCCTGAGACTGTGCGGGTCCCACTGGAAACCTCTGCGGTGGTGACCACCATGGCCGCCGCTGGGGATCGCGGCCATGCACAGTGACAACATG